TTCATCGAGAGATTTAACGGATTGTACTTGAAATTAGATAAAAGATGTAGGAGTTCCATTTTCATAGTTATTTTTATTATAAATTTAATGTGTAACAATAACTGTGAAAAATAAGAGTCAAACTTATTTTGTAATTATTTTCGTGATGATTTTCGTATATTCTATTATCTTGTTCCACTAATGAGGTGGGTGACCAAGATATTGCAACTGCTTGCAAATTTGCAATTGTGTTAGCGTGTCATCATTTTTAAATGCAACTCTTGTTCTTCCAATGTTTTCTTACAGCAATTATGGAAAGATCCCAGGTTTAATATCAAAATTTCCCGTGTTAAGTTTTTTACGGAAAAGAACACTTAACACTTGTTTACACTTGGAGTTATGGCATTAAATGTAAAATTACAAAAATACCCTTTAAAATGAATTTGGAGAGCACTCGATCAATGCATGCATTACCCAAAACAAAAAATAAAAAACAAAATGGTCTTTTTCCTTCCTAAAAAACAAAAAAGATAAAAAATAAAAACTAAAGTTGAGCTTTCTTTTTCCTTCCTAAACTTTCTTCCAAACCAAATGGTCTTGTTCTATTTCGGCAGAGCACTAAACATACAATGAAATTCAAGATAATTTTATTTTTCAATATTTCTTTTCAAAAGTACAAATGAAACAAATGAACGAAACAGAGCCAACAACTTATGAATACATAGACAGCCATAGCCATTGAGAACTGACGATCCGATGGTTGAGTAGAGTTTTTTTTTAAGAAGTTTTATAATGGATTAGGTTTAAGTTAATTGATGGATTTGGATTAAAATAAATTAAAATGATCACTAATGTAACACCCATTTTTCTAAATGATAAAATTCTTAGAAATAGACATTAAGAATTAATTTGAATCATGTTATGGTGTTATATTTAGTAAATTCTAATATCAAGTCGAGTTATTTGTTACAGGTGAACGCGACGAGGACTCGAGATGCCGAGAACAAGTTCATGCCATTTTATAGAAGTTATATATATGTTCATTTTTTATGATTTGAAAAATGTATATATGTTCATGATATGATGTACTTCATGTTATAATGCATGAAATTAAATGTCTTAGGAAAATTCTAAGCTTTCCTTGATTTTTTTTGTTAGACAAAAAAATCATTTCCATGATGTTAATTTTCAACTCTATTTTGGACCTTTAAAATTCTGAAATTATTCCTTTAGTTCATACAAATCTGTAGAGACTTTCATAAGCTTTCTAACGCCTTCTCATTTGCACAAAGACATTGGAGGAAGAAGATGTGGCCAGTATACCATCCGGATACCCACCAATCTCCGACTAGGTTGCTGCACGCGAAGAAGAATGGAAATTTTAGAAGTTGATCTAACTCTTTTATTTGTCTTCCACACGACTTTATCAAAGGCCTCTTCAACAAAGGCCTCCCAGACCGATGCACCACACAAGGTCCCACAGGCATCATACATGCCCTAAGCATCCCATTCTTTCTCATTCTTTCGCAAACAAATTCTCTCCCCTGTAATTGTTTTTGTAAAGCTTTTTCAAGCACTTTTGTACCATTTTCTCTCTATATAGTAAAAATCTAAATATTACAAGGT